CGAAAGTGTTGGCTATCCATGTTTTTCATAATGTCAATGAAGGTGTTGGCCGTTGTTGGCTATACTGCCCGTTTTGATATTTGCAATGTCAACATAAATCATAAACAAAGTTGTAATAAAAATGTGAATAACGAAAAATGTAGTAATAAATAAATATAAGCTAGTTATAATCTTTATTTATTATATTATTATGAATTATAATAATTTTAGTGAAACAACAACTTCAGAATTGATTTTAATAACATAGATTTAAAAAACATTTTCAAAATGTCTGAAGATACAAATCAGTTTCCACAAATTAATCATGTAATTAAAACAGAACCTATTGATTATTCAATAGAAGAAACCAATGATGCAGATATTGTTATAAAAGAAGAATTCTTGTATGATATTAAGTCAGAATTGCACTTAGAAGATCACGTAGAAAGTTCTATAAACGAAGATAATGATGCAAGTGTAGTTATAACAGATGAAATTAAACAAGAAATGCATCCAGAAGATAACTCAGAAAATTTTATTATTTCCGATGTAACAATAGATGAAAGACTGAAGCAAGAGGTAACACAATCATACGATGAATTACCACAAGACCTCGAGGCCACTCATGGTAAGTCTTTATCATCAAATAATCTTAAACAGCAAACATCACTACAATGTTTTAAATGTGAAATATGTTATAAAATATTTGCTAAACAAAGTTATTTAAAACAACACTTGGTTATCCATTTTGATGCACGTGTACATAAATGTACCGTATGTGATAAATCATTTAATCTTATAGGCAATTTACATAAACATATGTCTTCACATAGTGAAGAGCGACCTTATGAATGCAAAATATGCAAAAAAGCATTCAGTCAACGGAGTTATTTGAAACAGCACCTGAATACACATGCTAATGGGGAACACAAATGTATACCGTGTGATAGAGTATTTAAATCACCAGGTAATTTTAAAAAGCATATGGCCTGTCATCTGACCGATGAGTGTTTCAAATGTACAGTTTGTGATAAAGCTTTTCCTACAACGAATCATTTAAAACGGCATATGGGTGTTCATGCAGATAAACTGCACAAATGTATGTTGTGTGATAAATCATTCAGCCTCGAAGATAATTTGCGTAAACATATGGTTTCTGCACACTCTAACACTTTAACTGAATATTTAACAAATCATTTTACACAAAACCAAATAACTTGTGAGAAACCTGATGAAAAATTTGCAAATTTAGAGTTAATAACAATGCAAAATGATGAACTGGCTTTTCAATGTAACATGTGCAATAAATCATATAATAATGAACTGTTGTTTACGCAAACATATGAAAGTGCACACCAGGCTACGTCCCCACAAATGTGAACTTTGTGAAAAAACATTCTTATCACTTAAGCATTTAAGATCATATGAATATTCACAACGGACTGCGTCCTTATAAATGTGAAACATGTCCTAGAGCCTTTGCGTTTGCAGGAAACTTAACAAAGCACTTGGTAGTCCATACTGGAGAGCGTAATTATAAATGTGAAACATGCAGTAGAACTTACACACAAATGAGTAGTTTAAGAACACACTTGTTATCCCATACTGGTATACGGCCTTTTAAATGTCCAATATGTCCTCGAGCATTCACCTTGCGCAGAAATTTAGAAGCCCACCAGCCGCTTACTCATTTACAAATCAAAACTCTATAGATGCAATATATGCACTAAAGAGTTTACTACACCTGGTAGTTTGTCCAGGCATGCAATTCTTCATACTGGAGAACGTCCTTTTGTGTGTGAGATATGTGATAAATCATTTTCTGAGAAGGCTAGTTTAAAAAAACATGTCATTCTGCATACCGGAATACGGGCTTCTAAATGTGATATATGCAAGAAAGCTTTTAGTCAAACGAGTAGTTTGAAGAGGCACATGAAAACACATGGTAGTACGAAGCCTAATAAATGTGAATTATGTGGTAAAGGATATAATAAAGCGAGCGGGTTAAGGAAACATATGGAGATACATAAAGAAATTTTGGACAATTCAGCAACTTCATGAATATGTAAGGTTGATGTATTTTTGTAAAATACATGGGAAAAAATTATTAAGAATATCAAAGTGTTCATTTTAATTTAAGTAATTAATTTATTTAATTTAAGTAATTAATTTCCTGAAGTAACAGTTTGTTTTCCCCACAAAATCCAATTTTGCTTGACTTTTGCACAATAATATCTATAAAGTTCTGCACAGGTGTAGCAGTATGTGAACGTTTTTTGGGAAAATAAAACACTAATTTCTAATGGGAGAGGGAAAAAACATTTTATTCAGCTTATTGGACATTGGGAATAATAAGGGAACCATATACTTTTCTTTTATCTATGAAGGGCACATCCATTAATTACGTGAACGAGTTTTTTAGGATTTTTGGACCCCCCATCCCCCTTGATGATACATGGTGATATTCAAAATCACCCCCCTCTTCCCCACCAAACGTCACATGTATTTTTAGTTACATGAAAAATCTGTAAAAATTTTGATTTTTGTTTTGAAAATGTTTGAACTATTTTAAAAAAAATAGTTAAGAAAAAGAGTGCGCATAAAGTTCACATGCGATTGAAGTAAAACTTATTTGCTACTGTACAGATGGCATTTAAGTAAAATAAAAACATCATATAACAATTTTAAATAATGTTTATTAGTAATATGGTAACACTCGTGATGCACACGTTCATTAGTGTCAACCATTATACACATTTATATAAAATATGTATAATATTTAAAAACAATAATGTAATTAAAGTTTTACTTCAAATATGGCATGATCGGTTTGTCATTGTAATTAGCATTTTGAAATGAACCTTCATTAGAGAAATGAAGTAATTACTGATTAATAAATTCTATAATAACGTTCACACAGTTGATTATGTTAAACAACGTCTAAACAAATATTGTTTTTTAATGTAATTGTGTTTGAAGAACTTCATGTAATTAAAATTAACATTCATTCATTGTCTTCTTGTATTTTTTTTACTTTTTCGCTGGCGATATAATCTCATTCTTTGAACAGCTGTAATATCTGTCTTGCCTAAAAAATATTTTCTATTTCAATAACTTCAAAGATTTATAGAAACTACGAATAATATAGAAATAATTTCTAATCAATAAACTTACGTCTAGTACACGGCCCAAATGTTTAATTTGTTTTATTATTTTCAAGGAACAGGGTAAAATATTCTTCTGAATCAGGCATTTTCATTAAATCAAGATATATGCTACGATGTAACTTTAAAATGTTTATCTATGCCGATTTCCTTGTTGATATCGGTACGCATACAACATTGATGCCGGTACGCAACAACGACAGACCTCTATTCACATACACGACGACCCGTATAGAAATGATTTCATCGAGAGCGGATGACGAACAGTTTGGGCGTAAGGGACTTCCGTTGCATTTGTACGGATTTATACCCTGGTCGCGCCTAAAGAAGTTTTACTTCAAAAATCAATCAATCAATATTCAAAAGTCGATTTTATCTTATTACACGTTCGAAATATACAAACTTTTTTCTCTAATGCACAAAAAATATGAGACACCGAAAAATTTTACAAGTGGACATTTTTTGGTAAATTTTGTCATAAATTGCTCGGTTACCTAGTTGCCTAGGGATGGGTACCATAACCATATGAGTTCGTTCCAGTTTATACTTGTTATCTTTGTTGCAGCCCATTTGCAATGGATGCAGTTTATGACTCATTTTGCATTGTCAAATAGCGACGTACAGACGTAAATAATTAAATCGGTAGTGTAAAAAAGTGTTTTTGATGTACAAAGTTCTCTTCTCTTCATAATAAAATATTCTTTTTTCTGACAATTCATAATTCCTAAAACACATCTTTACCGGATACTTATTGTTTTTAGTGAAAATTTAAGTGCATTTAATAAATATAGGTACTGGGTGTACTGCTTTTATAAAATAAATAAATAGACAAGTATCCGGTGACTAATAAATACGATATATGTAAAATCTAGCTGTAAAATTGCGTGTATAATGATATGATTTGGTGACATCAGTGTGACCTTAACCCTCCGTCGGTCGGATATTTTTTCACCTTCGAACGGTCGGAAAGGTCTGGCTGGACCACCATTCATTTTACATGCATTTATATGGGATAAATGAGTTTTTGGCGTCTTATGTATTAACGATTAATAAATAATCAAGAAATATAAAAAAAAACGTTTGCTTTTTTTGTAATTTTTCTGTTTTAAATCAATGAAAAACAGTATTTATTCTTTTGGCGCCCTGAATGAATGTGTGCATTACTCATACGATTTTCAGTGTTTGCGATTACCAATAAGTTTTGTAGGTTTTCAAGGAACTCTCGTCATGAAAATACTAACATTCATGTTAGAAACATAGCAAAGAATATAAAAACGCAGTTTGAATAGAAAATACCATGAAAAAGCGTATATTTCATACAAAATGTATGGGTGGTCTAGACAGACCTTGCCGACCGTTCGAAGTATAAAAAAAATTAAATCCTTATAATTATCCTTCTGTACATTTTTTCGTCCTGATTTTTTCATTGATCGACAGCTAATGAAATTTTAGGAAAAGTCAAGAAATTCAAGTCGATAGGATTACTAGTATTTTTTTTTTCTAATTGAAGTCGAAAAAAGTCTGGCCAGACCACGCCGACCGACGGAGGGTTAAATGAAACACGTTCAATCCCTCCCCTCTCGTTTGCGTTACCATAGCTTATAAAATTGAATTGTATGTTGATTGCTATTTGAATATATAAATAAATAAAATATCATCAGTGCGTTTACAATACATTTGAATGCGATTAAGTTATAAGAAGATAATGTTGTGTTTGTATCATACTATAGTTTACTGTGCATGTAAACATATTGTATACTGAGTTTTGTGTTATCTGTTAATAATAAAAATGAACTCTGCTAAAAGCAAAAGAAAAGTAGAATATCAAAATATAGGTGAAGTTGAACAGAACAAAAAACCCCAAATTTAATAATGCAATTCATGGAAACGTTTATCAAATAAAATTGCTGATGCTCTTCCTATGTCGAGCCACTTTTTTTGGATACATTTTAGACTGGGCACTGAATACAAGAAGCGCACAAATTCGATGATTTGGTTTTTGAATATAAAGAAGCTAATAAAAAGTTTTTAGACTTCTGCAAGCCAAACACGTGTA